CTCTCCCCTCTCAGGATAAGAACCCTCCTTCCTGAACATTAGATACTTCAGTAATCTTCTCTGCGCACTGAGCAAATGGACTGAGCCTGGCAGTTAGATATTGGTGACCATACTAAATGTGAGGAATAAAAGAGAACGTCTGGTCAAGTAAAAACCCCTAGATTGATTACAATGGCAAGTCTAGTCAGGATAGTACCCATATTGTAATTAAAGACTATAGGAGTTTTCGTGCTGTGGTAAGAAACGACATTAAACGTGCAATTTATTTTTAGTACGTCAATGGCTAACAATATTGGTGTTAGTCTGGAGAGTCTGTAGATCGTGCCGCTTGTTAATGCAGTGATATAATTTTAGATCACCCATATAGGCAAGCTTGTCGAAGATGACTAAAGACATGAGATCGTCTATAAATATATTGAACACAAGTGGTCCAAGGTTAGAACCTTCAGACACACCAGAATTTGGAATAACTCCACGAACTGTTGACGGTTCCCCAGAGAGGACTTCAAAACTGAAATCAGCGATTCGGGGAAACCAAATTTTTGAGACGCTTTTTCAATCAGCAAGTGATGATCTATCTGGTCAAACGCTTTGTAGAAGTCAGTGTATATATCGGCGACTTGACATAAAAAGACAGGAAAATAAGTTGGTGATACATGATCTTTTCGCATAAAAACCATGTTTTTGCGTAGAGAGTTTATTTCGAATTTGGGCAAGGATAAATTTATGTAATATAATCTCCAATATTTCGAAATAGGTCTGTAATTTTCAACTGCAGAAGGATCATTTTTTTTTAATTAGAATGAACTTTTCCAAGGTTCTACATAAACACCCGGTTCAAGTACCAGTTTAAAGATGTTTATTATGCCTTTAATACCGGCAGTCATTTTATTTTTTAATGTTTTGCTTGCTGATAAACATTCTGGATGGTTTGACTAGTATGTTGACTGTCGAAGATGAACATGGATCTGGCTGGGATATCGTGCAAACGACACCAAAGTCTTTCGCAAGAACTGCTACAACCATACTAGGCCCGTTGCATGGCTGATTAGAATAGGCTGGAATCCTCGAATCTGCCTTCTTAGTCTGAATAAATGAGAAGAAATTGGTAGGACTATCATGTATGCTTAACTGAGTTCGACGAACAAAATCAAAATTATCAATTTGTGCAGTGTTTTTCTGATAAGCTTTACAATAACCGTGATATGAGGGGTATCCCAAACGATCTCATCTCTCATTTGGGTACATGTCATGTTTGTAGAGAGTAAAGTGGAACTTTTTATCCTGACGCGAAAGGATACGATTCGTTGCAGTTTGATAATATCATTGCTTGGGAAACGTTAATGCTTTCCCATTGAAAATTGTAAGCGACCGTCTTCCGTTTTAATGAACATGTTGCATATATTAATAACGTCTATCGCACAATTCAACCGGATCGATACTTCATTTCCCCGGAATATTACAGTGTTACATAAATTACCACTATAATGTTTATGTTTTGAGTTAATTAACGGTGCTCTGTGTTGCGTACCCATATTTTATAAATCGGGAATTTATCTTTGAATTTACGGGCTAGTACGCAGCCAGATAACAGCATAAAGCAGGTTATTAAAAAAACTTCATAGAGTATAGTGAGCGAGATGAGGAATCTTGGGAAGTGTAAGAGTCAGAGGAGTATTCAAATGTTCAAACATTTCATCCCACGATACTAATGGTAAATGTTGTAGCGTTTTGAATTTCTGAATAATACAAAATCAAAAAAGATATAAACATCACTGACCACAAGCTATTATCTTCATTCGGGTTTAAAGGCCGTCGTCGATTGGAATTACTTCCTAACGTTTCGCTAGCACGAGTGGCGAGCTTCTTCAGAGGTCCTTCCATCTCCGATGTTGGACGTAGACTGAAGAAGCTCGCCACTCGTGCTAGCGAAACGTTAGGAAGTAATTCCAATCGACGACGGCCTTTAAACCCGAATGAAGATAATAGCTTATCAACGGGCCGCGAAAGCCTTAACCAATTTATCATCACTGACCACATATCAAAAAGCTCTCAACATCTGCAGTCTTTCAAAGACAAAATTCTATTTGAGAGACCGGACGAAAAATAACAACTAGGCTCAAAGAACACGAAAGAGCCTTACGACTAAGACAAATAAATTCATCAGCTGTTGCCGAACACACTCATGAAACCGGGCATAAAATTTTATTTGATAAAATTAAAATTCTTGAATATAATCAGTTCTCCTACCAACGAAAAATCCGAGAGTCTATAGAAATCTATAAACAACCTAACAATCTTAATCGCGAGTCAGGTCTCTACCTGTCTTCAATTTGGGAATCAGTCACCCGAGACGGTGTTTATACCCCTCATAAGCGCACACAGGTACAGAGTAAAATACGAGCCAGTTTCAGACAAGCTCTGAACAAACCAACAGGATGATTGGCGAAACGTTAGCAATTTCGACTAAGCAAAAACCGAAGCAGGATATACTTTTTACAAAACTTCTGGATTCCTCCTGCGTCGGTTTTTGTTTAGTCGAAATTGCTGACGTTTCGCCAATCATCCTGTTGGCTTCTTCAGAGCTTTACTGAAACTGTTTTCTTATAAGATTATCTCCTACATACCCATACATTTAAAGAAAACCAGCGCTGATGTTTTCCTTCAACTTTTGCACTTGTGTTTTCAATGTTCCACTGATGTATATTTCGAAAATTTACAATGCCATCACCACTGAATGCAGCCTCGTCAGTGAACAAAATAACATTTAAGAATCACGGGTCATTTTGAATTTTTTCTAAAATTTGATTGCATAGAATTAGTCTCACCCTCATACAGTGCTTCAACCCTCTGACCATGAAAGGGCCGAAGATTATTTTCAAGCAAAACTTTCCAAACTGTGGAGCAAGCAATTCTTACCTGACAGCAAATTTTCACGTACTCGTTCAAGGGCCAACCTCCACATTTTGAAGTAATCTTTCTTCTCTTGCAGAGGTTCTTTTATACCTTTTCCTTCCTTTATTCATATTATCAGGTCTTCGGAACGGCCCTGATCGATCCGGACTCAGTGCACGGTATTGGGCTAAAGGAGTTGCTGACCTTCTATAGGAGGGGCGGCATTCTGGACGCCCTCTAGAGCGGGCTGGGGGCACAACGGGCCCATCTGGTGGCCTAAGTGCTTGGGCGCCTGCGAGGGCGCCCCCTTTAATACCAATACCAATACCAATACCAATCAGGTTTGAATGATCCTGTTTCACCAAGTCTTCTGTGTAATATAAGGAATGATAAGCCTCGATATAAAGCGGTCGTGCTTGATCCGCATTTCCATTTGCTCTTCAGTAGCAAACATGCATACCGCGATATTCAGTATTTGTTGGATAATAAGCTCTTTTAATACAAAGTATTTCTTAATGGATTGCGACAATCAATTTTGCAAATTTCATTAAGTCGTGTTAGATAAAATCCCATCTACAGGTAAAATTCGAGCAGAAAATAAAAATTGATTTGTGGCTAAACGATAACACTTATCGACTTAAAACAAGAGTAACAATTTTTGAGGATTTGTGATTCTGCTTAAGGCAATTAATTTTATTTTGCAATATCAGTCTAAATAAATAAAATACGGGGCAAAATAAAAAAATGTTCTAGATAAAGTGCCCTCTAGTGACAGATTTCCGAGACACTTTTGTATTGTAATAATGGCTTTTACTAAATCAATTCGGTTAAGAAGCAAGCCCACTGCTTTAAAAATAACCTTTAAAAAAATCAATTTTGACAACCTATAACTCGAAAAATATTACGATTTCGAATTTGTGTTACATGTTAGAAATTACTAAAGAAAAACGTTCTTTTAAATCTTTGACTCCTTCTATATTGTTGTAGAGGAATATTATTGCACACTATATTACAACTTATCTACTACATGTATTATTGAGTAAAGGAATGTTCTCGATTTAAAAAAAAGAATAGAAATATTCGCTAAAGTTTGACGACATATTTAGTCGATATACTTTCTCAAAGCCGACTAACTAGAATATGATTGTGGCAAAAAGCAGTGATTTCATAGCATTATTGTTTAAAGCAAAAGAATTTCAATGGAAAAAATACTTTAACGAGTAACAAGTTTTACAAACGGAAGACTTTCTCTAAGTAAATTTATTTTTTGAACATATCTTTTAACAAACTATGACTTAATCTAGCAAAACTTTTAATAAACGTAAAGTAAAAAATATTCGAAGAATACAAATCCTGCAGTTTTGATTACATTACTTAGTATACGAATTTTAGGTTAGGTTTACAGTAGACAAAATTTTGCGTAATAGTTTTTATTTAGAAATAACCTACAACTGAAATACCTAACTATTAGAAGTCTCAAGAGTGGAAGTCAAGCTTAAAGCTTCTCAGTAGTAACCCATGTAAAAAGGGTTGACTTTCAGGAATATTTTTTGTGCCGTTAATACACCACAATTCGGATGTCAGTAGTTTGAAGGCATAGAAAACACATCCTGTATAAGAAAATTCGATAACGAACTTGACCCATAAAATGTTATATCAAAAATCTGGTAAAGCAACTTATACCGAATATAAAATAGACTACAAAAATATGAAAGTGGCCGAATAAACTCGGATTAACTATTTATATACTCTATTTAAATTATCAAAGTTAATTGCTCTAAGAGTAACGTAATTTTTATAAAATATATACTAATTTACAAATCAAAATTAGATGACCTCTGACCATAATATTGTGTGAATATTTAAATATGTTAAGAGAAGTTTTTTCAATGAAAACTCGCACAAATTTGTTCTACCATCATAGAGTGTACTTCCATCCATACTTGTGTACGCCGGGTGCTAATAAGTATTCTTGAAGAAGAATACTCTCGGTTAATATGAGACGATATTACCTTTCGAGTTGTTGGATCTGGCAATATTATTAGGCATCATTGAGTATATGTGTATGTATTATGTCATTGAGTTTAGAATTTTGGCCCTTACAGATGGGAAATTTCACCAACTGCCATCGGGAGAACTCCTCATTCACAACCTCGAATTTAGCGATCAATTTCCGACTTATCGATGCCGCACGATGCACAGGCTGAGTCGGCAAGTGGTGGTGAGCAGTCCTGCCAACGTTAGAATTACCGGTAAGTTGAGTTTACTCCCGCAAATACCGCGAGCGATGGTAGTAACGCGATGCCTTTCATTCAATCCCGATGGTTTGTTACGCGTTTAAGTTAAGGTGCAAAGTTTATGGGCAACTAGGTCGAACGAAATGCGTTCCGTTTGAAGCCTCCCGCGCCGCTTTGTGTACAAATGGCTACTTTGCAGTATTTAATCGCGGCTTTACTGCACGGCTAAAAGCGAAACGAGAGGATTTAAGTCGTGGAATTGCGGATTTCTGTGAAGTTTTGTTGTTTCTTGTATCCGTTGGGAATAGGGAATGATTTACAATAGTCTCCTTAAAAGATGATTAAATCTATTTTATCTATTTATTTTGAAACAGATACAAAGTGAATGAGTTGGTACATTTTTAAATCATTTCCAACATTTAAATACAAGATAACAAAAACTAAGAAATTACAAATAAACAAGTACCAGGAGCAGGAGAATGAATCAATGATCTTCTAAAGAGGCAACAAGGAATGCAAGACTATTAGAAGGAGTAAGAGGCGAAAATGCTCTTTTAGACAATCAAACTTAACCATTATTAAATATTTGTTTACTTATCTTAACTGATCTTAATCCAATCAGACTAGATTTCTCTAAATTTAGTGTACTTCGCACTCTTTTTCTCTATTGTAGAAAACAAGTCACATTTCCGCAGCTGTTTAGCAACAGATTAAGCAACTAATTAAATGGATCGTCTAAAAGGTTCAGAGAAAGGAAAATAAACAATTGTCCAAAATATTTTAAATATACATCGAAACAATATAATGCATTTGAAAATTACCAAAATATTGTAACATTTTGACTTCTATACTTCCTCAGAAGAGTTAATTTAATTATTATTAAAAGGGTTTTGAATATAAAATTTCTGCCCATTGTAAATAGTCAGTGTCAAATAAAATAACGATTAAACAGCGAAAAAGTGAGTCAAATTTTATAACAGCGAAAGATGACTAGAAATAGGGATTCTTGTCTTCTCAGTGAAATCATTGTGTTATGTGATAATCAAACAATGTTTTCTTTAAATATTTGTACATAATGAAGTTTAGAAACACCACCGTAAAAAAGGAAACAAAATAATATACTGAGAAATTCAAAATTCGAAAGTATTTTCTGACGTTTTTGAAAATGATGAATTCAAATTAATATCCCAAGTCGCTATTTAATTGAAAGTATTTGTTAAAAATTTTACAAATTGAAAAATCTAGTTTTACGCCTACATATACATTATCATGCTATAGAAATTACAAAAAAAAAATCTTATACTCTCATGAATATTGAATTATTAGCGACAGAAATGTGACTTATTACTGCACTGACATCTCTCGGACAATGGCAAAACTAAATCCGGACTCAAAAACACCCGAAGGATGGAGTGACGTAGACATAGCCAATTTCTACTACTACTAATCAACCAAAGGCTTACAAAAGCTACCAAATTATTAAACATCTAAATCATAAAAATACAAACGATTGAAATGATTTGGCAAAGTAACCTCTAGCGAACGACGTACCCAACAGGTGGAGGAATTCATTCATAATATAAAACAATCGCCTCTTACACTTATCTGCCATTAGTAGTATTGCAAAGAAACGAATCCCCATTATTACTTGCAAGTACTGTATTCGGATGTTCTTGTCAGAGTTACTCACTTGTAAGTGAGTATTTTTCCTACTGTCGGAATTTACGGTTCGACAAACGATCTCGTACTTAAAATCGCTAAGTTTTTGTCCGAATTTAAACAACATAAATCGCGCGAGTTGTCAACTGCAAAACCGACCCTAGGGTGTTCGCATAGCAAATAGTAGTGAGCAAAGTTCTCTCTTCATTGAACATCTTTCTCTTGTCCGCGCCGTCCTCTTGGATATTCCGGCGTCTCTCCGGGGAAACATTTGTTACAATACGAAGCAGATTTTGCATTTTACGCTTGGCAGGGTCCTTTATGTCCGGATAACGGGAGCTGGGCGCATTTCTGACGGGACGACCCTACTATAAAGGAAACGGATTTACATTAATTACAACATCCGCTCGTGATGAATGGACCCAGACGCAGTGTTAACCCGTATTTACGGGCTTGTTGTACGCTAAGGCGTCTGCCAAAAGGAAAGTCGTGAAACACCTTTTATTCGGTATAAAGGGACGATACTGTTGCTGCTTTTAGTATAGCAACTCTTGGAATCTTTAAGGGATTAAAAAATTCCGCTAATGGGAAATCTTTATAGCTAGCTGCTTCGTTATTGGAAATATTGAAAGAAAACAAAATTTTCAAATATCCTCCATGTTTACACCGAACAAGAGTCAAATTATCTGCAGAAAAACGATTCAGAAAATAATCTTCAGTACACTATCAAAAGTTTTAAGTGATTTAGTTGATAAGTAGTATAGTAGTGCCGGTTCTGAGCCACTTTTGGCGAAATGTTTAAATTGTGTGAATTTTTAGGTATGTTCGGCTTAGCGCATGCGCAGGATTGTTCGTATCCGCGTAGCATGCGCAGCATTATCTTATTCGGCTATGTTCGGGATGGCGAAGGAAATGTCGAAATGTTCGGTTCCAATTAGCGCACGCGCTCTGTTCAAAACTCTTCGTGTCACTTCATTGTGTTCTGTTTGGCAGTTATTCTCTCCCCTCCATGGATGGGAAAGTTCTGTAAGTATGTGGATACGTCGTAAGTAATTATTTTTTTTATTTACAATAATCACACTAATATAAAGATATCTTCTTTCTTAAAAAATAATCGCGGCAACTTGTTTCTTAAAGCATTTACCAGTTGTCATAATGCGAAGGTTGGTTAGTTTTGGTTTCTACTACTACTTACTGCCGGGTCGAAGTTCGACGATAAAATCTACATGGAACATGAAAGTTATATGGTTAGATTAGCTCAATCATTCACCGATAATTTCAATAAAGACAACATAGATATTTTGAACAGGGATATCGCTAAATCAAAATCATTTTATCTCATACGAAATGATATTGCTATCCTTTTCTGTTTTATTTTTTAAAATCCAAATTGTTGTTGCTCAACTACTATTCTCACCAGCTCCACCAATCATATCACGGAGTATAAAGAGCGTCGCAGATGTCGCCTGCGCCTGGTGCATGATAGAACCAGTTTGCCGTTTAGATCTGCATCTGAGGAAGACGGTTGCTGATGCTGATGCCAAGCGGGACTCAATATTTTAACGAAGACGACGACGACAATGACACGAGAAGATATTTCGAGGATATTTGGTAGAAACGTCCGGAAAAAGATGCACCTCTTGGACGAGACCAAGAAGAATAGGAAAAAACGTGTTGATCCAGTTCGAAGGAAGACTGTGAGAAGATGTAATTCTTTTAGAATATAAATATTATTTTTTAACAAATTCTGTATATTGAAAACTATTGTAAATAAAGATATTTTTAATAAATATTCTTTTATTACATTTTATTATATTACATTTATACGTCCATATATGTCTATTTAATATGTTCAACACATTTTAGCACTATCTGAAAATATTGTAATTATATTTCTTTTCAGAGCATAGAGGAATCGTTACTCCTGTGATAGTAGAAAGTTCCGGAACTGTGACCGTGGCTCAAGATGAAGGCGCGGCACTGATTTGTATAGCTCAAGGTTGTCCATCGCCTGAATACAGGTAAGCTACTTATTAATACGTTGCAACCGTTAAGATTGTCATATTAATATATTTTAAACCTAATTTGACTATAACTCGGAGCTCTGGAAGCTTGTTTCAGGAGAAATTAAGTAACTGATTTCTCGACATGAGTTTATCTCATAATTTGGAAAAAATTCTATTCTACATTTTTTTTTTAATGGAAAAATATTTCCTTTTAAGCGACATATTTTATATTACCATTATGTTTATGAAAATTCGAATTATTGTTACATTGAGCTTAATAAGAACACAGCTCCTCTAGCGGCATTTTCAGAAAGATTTATTAGAAATCGATTCCTGACAGGTTATCACCCTGCAGTTCACATAAAATAAAGTGAGATTATGAATCACGCGTTTGTCGTCGAAAATGATTGCAATCATGTGGAAAAAAACTAAACGATTCATCACTTAAGCAACATTTATTTTTTGTTAGTGCTAAATAAGGAGTCACAAATGTGATTATTTCAAAGAAACCTCCACAGGCTACTGTAATACTATTTACGAATTTTCTAGATTCCTCGGCCATCGATTGTTTAAATAAAACTTCAGCAAGTTCAATCATCAACAACTGGAGAAATTGAGAAGATTTGTGAATACTAGTAACAAATGTGTTTAAGAATTTAATATTTTCAAGGTTTTTAGAATTTTTTGACTAAGATTTCATAGTTTCGAAGAGTGGCAGAACATTAGAATAAGAAGTAAAATAAAAAAATATTTCTCTTTTATTTGCTATACTTAAACAGCCTACTATTATCAAAGTTTTGTTGCTGAAGTTGATCCCAGTTTTTCAGTCAACTTTTCCAGCTGTATATTTAACTTTCTCCCGCTTCCCTCGGGCCCTTTTAGGCGCGCAAGTGTTATTAAATACGAATTTGGCTCGATCGAGGCGGCAAAACCTTCATTCCCCATCCCGCCTACATTTGTTTCGACTCAAACGCCCAACCAAATCCTATAAATCCGACCCCGCGCATATCTCGTAAATAATTTAATCTGACGATTTAATTTAGGACAGGATTTTTCGGTTTAGAGCGAAATCCCCGCGATTGTTGTTTAATTAATTTCCAAACGTTCGTTTCCCGATCGCCCATTTTATTTTCATCCCGTCTTGGATGTCGCGAGATACCGATGCTAATCAAAAATTTATATTCGACGGCCCAGTCCCCTCTATTCGTCGTTATTTAAATTTTAAATCTCCGGGTAAAAGACTTAATCGAGTAAAACTGAACGTAACGAATTGCGCGCTGAGGTGAAGCGAGAGGGCGGTAGAAACCTGGGCGTCTTGCGCGAAGTTACTAATTATTAGTAATTATTGAGCAATGAAGCTATTTTTGAGAAAAGAATATTTGTTGAAATTTCTAAGACTGTTACGAAGAACATTCAATGTCCGATTCTACGTCTAAACATAAGAAAAATAGTTTCTATAAACCTATAAAATTTATGCGGGTTATTGCTAGTGTCGTTGCTCTCTTTAAATTGAAAACTAAGTTCTAATGTTAGTTTGTTCTTTAATAATAAAAATTGTGGACGTTACAATGATGATAAACACAGATAAATTTAATAAAAAAAAAGGCTAAAACTGCAAACTGCAAAACTGTTTCTGCATTTATTAAAAACCACAATTCAAAATTACCTTAAAAATATATTTTTGTGCCAGGAAATTTCTACAGTATATGTGTTTCCATAATACTTACGCTGCCTTTTACAGTCATAGCCTCTCTTTGGCTACTTAAAATATAGTCTTATATGGGACCAATATATGACTCTCGCAGAGGGACGAAAGTACTTCTGGGTTCCATACTTGGAGGTCGGAGTGGTGCAGAACCAGAGTATTCCTACTACTAATGATCAACAAAAAGTAGTATAAGATCTATCAATTCTATCCATTATTAAGATAATAAAGTAATTTAACTCAGAAATATTGACCAGATATGCTTAAACATAGCTTAGATTTCGATAGTTCAAGATATATTCTCTTCTGTACATTATCAGACACTATTTAAAATAAGATACTGAAAAATATATAATACATAGATTAGTCAAACGATGTAACCTACGCAGAATTGTGGTTTAGAAATATGATATTATTGCAGATGGTACAATCAGGCAGGTCTGGAGCCCAGTTTGATAATACCAGGGCCAAGAACAAGACAGCTGGGGCCAGTGCTTGCCATCGAAGCTGTCACAGCCGAGGATGGTAAGTACGAAACACATTTAAAATCACATGAAATTTCGGCAAAATATTCCGTTGTTTAAAATTAGAAAAAAATATCTGTTTTGCGTTTTCTAGGGACAAAGGGATTAAAATAATAAATTAAAAATCATTACAATGATAGTTACATGAAATTAAACCTTCTATGTTAAGTTTTAGCTTCTTACGGTGAAAAGATTCAGAAAAGGAATTAATAATGGTTCATTTAAATCAATCTGAAATTTTTCTACAAAACACAATATATTTTAAATTATTACTTATTTTATTCTATATTATTGATTTAGTGAAATATCTGAGATGGAACTGAAAATTTCTAATCCTCGATTGGTTGATTTTAATCCAAAAATGAGTAACCTAACCGACGTAGTAGTTACTGGCATCAATTCTAATCCTAGAAAAGCCGATAATTCTTCAGTTGGGTGTATTTATCTCTCCTTAAAAGTAACAAGCCGATAGAAGTCCGAAGATAGTCCTAAATCGAATTTGGGAGTTGCAAAAAGGCGATTTCCTTTTCTTTTAATCGCTTTTTCAGTGGAGATAACAAAGACGTATCAGAGAACCACTCTTATCGGAAAATACATCCTCGGATTAAGCGCCGACACCTTACGGTTCAGGAAAACCTGACAGTTAATTTTCATTCCGGTTTTCCGACCCAAATAGTATAGCATCAACATGTAAAACACAAAGTTTTCTTACAAAAAACATGCTTTTTGCAAAATTGATATAATAATGAAGACTACAAGCTGAATAAGCCGTTTTATGGCATGGTAACCATACTGTTTGATGCATTCTGTTATCAAAAACTTTCGTGCTTTAAGAAGGGGAAAAAAGTATTTCTGTGTCAAAGCGTTCAGTAAAGTAAAATTAAATGCAAAACTAAGAAATTCAAAAAGAAGTCGCAAAAGACAAGAAGAAATATAACGAAAATAACAAATAGAAAACAATTTTATTTTACAGCAGTAAAAACAAAAACAGTGATGCTAATCTTATCTCTGATATAATTCGAGAAATAGAATAACATAATGTATTAATAACTTTCAGTTAATTTTTTGCATTCTTTTTTTTTGGAAGCCAAATATTTAACCGATACGCAAAAAGATGTACATTTTAGAATGTCTTATGAATCTTTATACACAAATACACCTATTAATCATAGTATGAAGGCAATTAAAATTCAAAAACTGCAAACAATCAACAACAACTATCTAAGTGACTTCAAGAAGTTCAAAATATAAATTGCTCCATGCGTTCGGACTAAAATAGAAGAAGAACTTCAATTTGATTTCAGAAGAACTTACTGCGAGTTATTTGCGACTAATCAAAAATCGAAGAAAAAGAAAAAACTTGTTTTTATCTGTGTTAGAGGCTATATAGTAGCTACTTCTTAATGGAGGATGATTGTGTGAAAAATTGTTTGACAAAAGCTCGATGATCTCGCGCAATAAATAATGTACTCGTTTCGTGAAAGAAGTTTTCGATCTAGAGGCGTTCTTCCAGTCTCGCGCCAATTGTCGTTAAAAGAAAGACCAATATAATTCTTTGACAAAAAACAAGACGCTCGTTATTCCTTGTTGTTAAGTTAAATTTCCCGCAGCATCGAGCAGTCCTTTGTAACCTTAAATCCTGCAGCCAAGTTTCCGCACTTGTTTCACACCAACGTTTATTTTTGTTCCGATAAGTATCTCTGTTACACCTCATTAAAAGGCTGCATTTCTATACAGGTCAATACTCGTGTCGGAAATCTCGTAATTTTTGAGGTCTCTTCAAAAATTCAAAATTACTAAAAGTATGTATTGCAGCCTTGAGCTTGCTTTTTCTGTTTCTCATTTATCAATATATATATTTTTATTTTATTTATAATTTATTTCAAAACTGAGCTGAGAGTTGGTAGTCTTTTTTTATTGTTCTTGATTTACGACAGAGATTGGTTAGGGATAAAGTTTTTTTTTGAATACCAAAATTTTCTCTTATTATTTTATTGAATAAAAAAAACAAAATTATTGGTTAGACTGGCAAATCTAAATATTCTAAACTAAAAAAAATTACAATTTAAGGTAGCAAAAATTTTAAGAGACTATTGTACACAATCAAACGCTCCCGAGAATTGCGTTACAAGTAAAGCCGTATAGTTCACATTTACATTTTGAAAATGCTGTATGTGGAATGGTATAAAAAGAGATGAAAAAGATTTTATACCCACCCCCTTGTTTTGCAGGATGCAAACACGCAAACACGGAAAGCAAGCAACAAATAATTGCGCAATCAAATTGTAGCATTACTCTCGACATAAAAAAGACCATCTAAATGTGGGGGCGTCCCGCATAAGTAACACGATAATCGTTTAATGGCGCCGATAAATTTTACAGGTGGCGTTTACAGATGTTCGGCGACGAACGCGGGCGGCGAGGCCACAGCCGAAATGCGCCTAATAGTTTCCACCCCATTGCACGTGGAGATTTCACCCCCCTTGCTCAGCGTTCACATGGGCGGCAGCGCGGAATACAGGTAAAAGCGTCGCGCGGAACGCGATTACGATAGAAACATAAAGGGGAGTTACCCAAAATACAAAATTTAATAAAAACTGCTAAAATTGTACGAAAATTGTGTGTAACTCGCTCGGTGAAAAAAAAATCAGGAAAAAAACTAACAAAAGAATAGAAAATAATACAAATAATTACTAGAATGAGCTAAAAGAAAACCTTCTATGACCTGCCTAGTGAGTAAATGTCTATAAAAATAAAAATAATTTAGAGCCAGTGATTTTCATTCTCTGGCTTAAATAGATATATTTTAAAATCTTCAAAACATTATTTGATTGTTCCTGTTTGACGTCTTCACGTTCAAATTTTTGTTGAAAGCATAAAGCAGAAGCAAAAACATCGCCTATTGCCTTTATATCATTTGGTGATTGGGTGATGGACTATAGGAATACCACTAATTAAATCATGTTATTGCGCCATGTGTAATTCTCGCTCCTATAAGGTTTGAGGTTATGTAGCTCCCGAACTCTCTTTGCTTATCTACTTCAGTACTAAGAGATATAAATATTATACTATTAAAATTAAATATTTGTGGAATTTTCGAATAACGTATAGTTTACATTAAAATGATATGCATAAATGCTTATTTTTTATTAGATGCGTCGTATCTGCCCAAAGCGGCGGCCCACATCTCGTGACGTGGTACAAAGATGGACGCCAACTGCCAAGTACGGGAAGGGGATCAAGCGAAACGTTGATCGTCAACAACGTGGGCAGGGAGGACAGGGGCATGTACCAGTGTGTGGTTAGACGAGCGGAGGGGGATACTGCGCAGGCTGCTGCTGAGTTGCAGCTCGGAGGTAGAGAAAATAATTTTTAAAAATGCTTTCGTTTGGTTAGAATTAAAGGGTATAAAGTAATCAAAACAATACAAAGTTTTCAACACTAAAATTAAAAGTAAGGTGCGAATGTCCTTATCTGCACTCCCTCTAGGATCTCTGAGGTCAGCAATTTCGAATACAAAATCAAACTTGGAAACTTGAAAATTTTCTGCAATTGTTAACATTAAAACTCTTTGGTCTATTGAACAAAATGCAATCAAATTGCACCATGAAGGAAAACCAGATTTACCAATAAAAAAACCTTGAGAACCGAAACGATCATTAGTAATATTCCATGGTAGTCACAAGCGCCGGCCTTAAACGTGTAATTAAAATTAACAACGGCTCGAAAAGCGATGCCAAGAAAGTTAGAATTTATTTGTAATACCATGGGGCTTACTATTAAAATACGGTAAGCGAGTTTATGGCATTGCGCGCCTGAAAGCCGCAACCCGACGAGCTCTTTTGATTCGGTTAATAAAATAAACCGGATGGATTTAAATGCATTCCGGACTCATTTGAATAGATTTGGAATTAATCCGTCCTTTCAGATATCTTCTGTTAGTTTGAGAGCACTACGTAAATTTTAGTGGAATTAAAAAGTTGAAAACAAATTTTCTAAAGTATAATTTCTTTCTACTAAGTGCCAAAGAAGATGTTTATTTTTGTTTATAAATAGATCACATATTTACAAATACTATAAGGGAAATAGTTACATTCAGTGAAAAATAATATAAAAACCAGATGGGATACTTTTTATAAAACTTCTGGATTAGCCCTGCATCGGTTCTTGTTGAGTCGAACTATCTAAGGTTTTGCCAATCATCCTGTTGGCTTCTTCGGAGATTGACTGAAACTGGCTCGCTTATATATTGTCTGAGGGCGGCGGAGCTAAATGAGGGGCATAAACACCTTCCCGGATGACTGATTCCCTTATTGATGACAGATAGTCGCAGTTAAGATTGTTAGGTTGCTTATAGATTTCTATAGACCCTCGGATTTTTCGTTGGTAGAAGAATTGATTACATGCAAGAATTTTAGTTTTATCGAAGAAAATTTTACTTCTGCTTTCGTGATTATGTTAGGCAAGTACTGATGAATTTATTTGTATTAGTCTTAAGGCTCTTTCATGTTCCTGGAGCTTAGTTGGTATTTTTCGTCCGGTCTCTCCAATGACAGATCGAAGATGTTGAGAGATTTTTGGACAAGTGGTAAATCTGGTTTTGACATTATATTCCTTTAGAACTTTTGATTTGTGGTCAGTGATGATTTGAATATAAGGAAGGAAAACCGTGGCAAGCGTGGGATTGCTTTCGGTTTCAGTGCTACTGGAAGGTTGTGGTGACGTGTATTTTCTGATGGAACTCTTAATATCTATAATGTGGAAATTATTAGAGAGAAGAGCAGAGATAAGGGGTTTTAATTCTGGGTTCAATGGCTCGTGCTAAGATAGTTTTACGACTCGGTAAACAAGAGAGTTGATAACCGATTATTTTTGGGCCGGATTGTGATGTCACGATGCATTAAGGTATCGATCTATTTTCTATTGAAAAGAACAACATATGTTAGAGTGTATTGTGTTTAAATGTCTAATAAAATCTCCTAGGAATTCCTGACCATGAGGCTAAATAACAAAAGTATCATCGACGTAGCGTTTCCATAATTTTGGTCCTAGATGGAAGGTGTCGAGAGCTTTGTTCTCAAAGCCTTCCATAAATATATTCCCGATGACTGGTGATAGTGGAAAACCCATAGCTGTTCCGGGACGTTTGTTCAAAAATTTGACCGTTTTTAGAAGAATATGTTCCAGACCAGCATTTTTCAATTAAAGTGCAAAGCTTTGATGGTGAGAGTTTCAAGAATAGCAGCTTTAGGAAAGAGGGATTCTACGTCAAAACTAACCAGAATAACATGTGTATGTAATGAAATGCTTTTTATTTGTTCAAAGAAGTGAAAGTAATTAAGTACGAACCTGTCAGTTTTCCCCGTAAAGGATTTTAATAAGGAATATTTTGGTAGAGAATATTTTTGGAATACTGGAATTTTAGCGGGGTAATAGATTTTTCGACGGAGTCGGATAGAACACAACCACGAAATCGGACATAAAATTTTATTCCATAAAACTAAAATTCTTGCAAGTAATCATTTATGCCCCTCATTTAGCTCCGCCCCCTCAAACAATATAAAAGCAGTTCCAATCAAGCTCTGACGAAGTCAACAGGATGATTAGCGAAACGTTAGCTAGTTCGACTCAACAAAAACCGACACAGGAATAATCCAGAAGTTTTATAAAAAGTATTACAGTAGCCTGTGGATGTTTGTTTGGAAAATTAACTTGTGGGATATTTTACACCGATGTTTTCACCAGTTTGAAGCACTCGTTCTTTGAACAATGTTATCCAACTTCGATTCAACTATCCCACGCGATTACTTAATGGATTTACCTAACAATATATTTTTTATATCAGATGCTCCTCCAGTGTTGCTGTACAGCTTCATCGAGCAAACCCTGCAGCCAGGTCCAGCGGTGTCCCTAAAGTGTAGTGCATCCGGCAACCCTACACCTCAAATATCTTGGTTGCTAGATGGTTTCTCCTTACCAAGTCACGGAAGGTAAGAAGAAGCTTTTGTAATATTTTTTTGTATCACTGGCGTTTGGATTCTTCTCTACCCACATATAACGGAGGACTGAAAGTTCCGTTTTTTTAGATTTTTCAGATTCAGATTTTTAAACCTAAATGTATACAGTTACCCAAAAAGTAGCAATCTGGTTTGCTTTTTTTATCCACAACTTTCGTGTCACGATTGTCATTTTCTTTTATTTTCAATGCAATGCAATACTAACAACAATAATCATAAACAAATAATTATCAAAACAAATTAATATATAAAAACGTCAATATACAGGTTGCTTTTAAGTACATGACAAATTCGCCAGCCGGTATAGTTCGGGTTTCTGTTAGTTAAATCAATTTCTATTTAAAATTTGAGAAAACTGAAATTACTACTACTGACAAACATTCAGGTAAGCCATTTTATTGCAAGTCGTTTCTTGAACGTTACGAAGAAATTTCATAAAATATAATTACGAATGGTACCTTAAAAGAAAACCGACGAAACATGAATGAAAGGGAAGCCCCCAGTCTCGGTGCTTTGACTGTTTTAATTTATAATATGACGTGACCTTTTTGATCGAGTGTACCATAATTCGTCTTAATAGCGCGAAATGTCAAAGCATGAACGCAGGCTTTCTGGCGATAAAGGAGAGTAGATTAACTAAAAACATAAGGTACTCTTTTTCTATTATATATTATAAGAAACCTTAAAACTTAATTTTACTGATGAAAATGTTCTCATTCCTTGATCGATTTTTATTAATAAACCTATTATAGACGACGAATAGAACTACGTCATTATTTAACAGAGTCGAGGATAATGAAAAAGGCAAAAATCAGGAAAGTGTATATAATATACAAGGTTACTTGAAAGTGAAAACCACTTTAAACAAACAAATTTGTAACGCTTGACAGCTCTGTCGAATATCCCCCTTGATCAACCGCATAAAAGTTTATGATCGATTATCGCGCCCTATAATTTTTATCTCCCCCTCTGAACATGGAATTGGTGGATATTTTCGGAACTTGCATACCATTCGCGCGTTAAAATTCCGAGATTCCTCTCGACAAAAAAAATAAGCCAGCGTATAAAACAAATGCACTCTTCCAACAGGGACGCGAGTAAGTTAGGCGTAAGGGACGCAGCTCTGTGGCTCTAATATATTTTCAGGAATGAATGAGATCAAAACCAAATCAAAATTTTGTGGAGTTTTTAACTGTAAGGTAATAGTATATTATGCAACAAGTGCGGTAAACACCATTTGACTCACGAGTTTAATAAACAAGTGAATTAAAAAGTTTACCGAACGTGTTGCATACTATACTTTTTCTACGACCGTTACTTTTTCGGTACATTTTCGCAAAACAACGCGAATACATTCACTGACATGACCGTCAGAATTGACAAACGTCAAAATTCAAGACGTGGGAAATGGAATGGAACTAACGCGGTGAAGTGACGATTCCCGCACGTTAGATAGGTATGTAATTAGGCATTTTACGGAGGGGAGTAGAAAAAAAAGTTAACACATCTTTATTCCGGTTGCGCTATTACTTAGAGATTAATACTTTTGCAAATAAAATAAAAGTTATGGATAATTTATTCTTCTAGACCAATTACGATTCCAATTACGGTTGCACAAGTCAGGCTAAAATTAAAAGCAAATCAGTTGGATGAATCTTGGTCGAGTGGCATTCTCAGACCAACGATAAGGTTACCTTCCTCAAGTGGTATGGAAATGTAAAGATATGTAGTGACCAAAATCAGTCTTTTTATTGTTAGTACTATTTAGAACACTTACAAAAGTGCTTAAAAGTCGAAATTGAGATGGTGTAAAGATGCTTTAAAAGTAGCGGAACATTATGGACAAATTTAAAAACTTTTTTTTAATACTCTTTAAAAACTAATTAGTTGGGAATCTTCCTTTTAGATCTAACCAAATACCATTGCCGCTAGCAGTAAAAGCGCGATTGACGGATAAAAACCGGGTCGCATCTTTTCATTCCGAACGTTCCCCGCGAAACTGACTTACATTTTCGAGCAATACGAGCCTGTGTGCATAAAACTGACGTCAAAAGTAATTTCCACGTAAGCGTAACGTGACAAAAACCCACTTTAATATTCTCCGGTCTCGTCGTGTCGAATTTTACGATGTTGTAAAATGAAAGGCCACCCTGCAGAACTCGATCCGCCGACCCTTGCAGGCTGGTAGCGATATGCAGTTTTCTAAGACGGCACCAGATATTAGAATAATCGCAATAAGTGGTGAGTTCTCTAAATTATACTGAGTAACTACGTCTTTTACAAACACTGTGTGCCAATGAAAAGCTATACAGGGTGTTAAAAAAGTGCTGGACTGGAGAGTTCTCATCCAAAAAAAAAAGTTTAAATAAATGTGGATACGTAGTGGTAAATATTTTTATAAAAAAAATCCAGTCGCCATACGCAGCACTAATGGCAATGTGTCTATCCAGTTCTCAAAGCGACTTTCACCTATTCAACATCAACTAGTCACCTGTGTGCAGTACTTTTTCTGGAAACTATTTTTGGTACATATTCTCACGTCCGGATGTTTGATTACTCAATGTTTATGTGTCGAAGTCAAGATGGAAAGCATTGGGAATATTTGTTGTTCGTGTCTAGGGAAATATAGAGCATATTATTGGCAAAGATATTATAAAGATATTATTGGAAAATTAGGGTATATGAGCCATAGGCGGGATACAACAGTGCATGCTCACTGAGCTAAACGACAGAACACTAGGTCCGATGGCAGTCATATTCAAGCTCACTTAAACCGAAAAAATACTCCATTATATTTCAACTATAACAATAACAACAATAACCTTAAAGACATCAAGCTCTATAGACAATATATTTGTAAATTGTGATTTTGTACCTTGCTTAGTATTAGATACATTTATCTCGGACCATACAGCACAGAAAATTGAATTTCTATTAAAACCGTAGGACGAAAAGCCCCATTATGTGAGAATTTTCTCAAAACGAAAATAAACAAAAATTTTGGAGTGTACATCTGAACAGAATTGGAATGATTTATGTAAGATTCGAGAACAAAACGTTAATGGACGATGGTCTAATTTTTTAAATGCTTTTGGTAGATCTTTCAATTATTATTTTCCGTTGAAGTTGATAAATAAAAGAAAAAAGCACTCTCATAGAAATAGCCAGCGAGTTCAAGATGTTAAAATTAAAATAAACATTTTACTTGTACTCTCTAGACATTATGCTTACTTTAAATCGCAATATAACCAAACAAAAAAAGAACACGACAAACTCTTAAAAACGTCCAGAGCTGAAGAATACAGATAGAAGATTGAATGTTCGGATTATAAAACAAAATGTATGTGGTCAATTGGCAATGACATTTTAAATAAAAACAACAATCGTAATTGTCAAATGCTAGGTAGGTAGGTTATAGTCAGTATCTGTTATCAGTTATACCAGATCTAATCAAAGAATCAGAGCCAAACAATTCAGTTCTAAAATATCAGTTAACAACCAAACAATGTTCCTCAGATCGGTGTCACCAGATGAAGTTACTGAAATAACTAATAAAATAAAGAATAATCACGGTAGTGGTTATGACGAAATATCTACAAGCATAGTTAAATTATAAGTGCCCTATATTAACATTGTTCTTAGTCATTTATTAAACAACAGCTTCAAATATGGAATTTTTCCAGATCAATTAAAAACAGCTGTATTCAAGCCATTATATTAGAAGGGTGACCAGGAAGAAATGGATAATTATAGACCAATCAGTCTTCTCCCTGGTTTTTCAAAAATATTTGAAGTAGCAGTATGTGGTAGATTTCGTCATTGACTGTAACTTGTAACTGTAACGCCTGGCAAATTCACTGAAACTGCACTTTACTAAAACAAAATCTTACTAATACATATCGAAAATGACGGTATGTCACTTGGCATTTTTTTGGATTTGTCTCTATATTGGATCTACTCCTAAAAAAATTAGAATTGTATGGTGTCCAAGGACAAGTGCTCGAACTGTTTAGATCCTATTTATCGAATAGAAACCGTCTGCCAAAGTTATGAAAAATGGACGCCCTCACTACTCAGAATCTAAAGAGAGCCTATATGGTATCGCACAAGGCAGTATGCTAGGACCAATTCTATTTATAATATGTGTGTTATGCAGACGGCACAAACTTACTTGTGGGAGGTACAGATATTACTCAGGTTCTGAACAATGGTAGTAAATTTGGAAAAGCCGACAATTGGTTTAAAGAAAACAAATTAATTTTAAATAAAGATAAGTCACACGCCATTTTGTTTCGAATAAAACAGTCTAAATTGCATAAACCACCCTATTTCGAATATGAAAAGCATATTATTAATATAGTTGAGAGTGTAGATGAATTTGTGGACTGGAATGGGAATGCATATTGATAGTTTAAAAAACGGTTAAATTCTGTTTGTTATGGAATTGGACTAGTTAGAAGGTTTATGCACCACAATACAACAAAAATTTTATATTTTGCCCATTTTGAAATATGGAATTATTTTTTGGGTAGGCCACAGCGAAGTACAAAGATTATTTGTAGTTCAGAAAAGAGTTATAAGGCTAATTAAAAAGATGAAGTGTGGAGATAGTTGTCCAGGAATTTTTCAGATGGAAGGTTTAATGACATTATACGGTGTCTATATTTATGCGTCACTCATTTTCTTTTTAAAAACCTGGAATATTTCGAACTGCATGTATCATCTCATACGTACAACACTAGAATGCGAAATGTAAATTACCCAATACATAGATTAACTCTAACTGATAAGAGTTAATATTATATGTGTAGAAGATTTTATAAGAATTTAAAAGAAATAAATAATTTAGAAAGATTTAAAAGACATTTTAAAGACACTTCTGATAAAATTAGAACCCAACTCAATAAAAGACTATTTTGAGAAAATGATATAAGAATTTTTAATTGTATAGTATCTCAAGGTATTAGACCCTA